CCAATTCAGACACGCCTCATGTCAGACAGCAACCAGGAAGAGGACAAACAAGACCCAACAACCACAGCCCTTCTATGCCTTTCCCCTCCCCAGTTCTGACATTTCTCCACCCTGGTAAGCTATTCCCAGGGGACTGTGCCCCTCTGCTCTTCTCATCCCCTCAAATCCCACCTGGAAACGTCTCTCTTATCAGGGAAGTCAGATTTTCTATTATGTGCAGAACCTTTTCTTCTCCGAGCTTCTCGTTGGGGACGTGAGGAGTATCATCTCTAGCAAAACAAAAGCAGCACAGTCACTGTCTGTGACTAACAGGGCACAAGCTTAATGTGATGAGCCACAGAAACTCGCTTACTTCTCTTTGTGCCTCCTAGATAATAAAGGTTGAAGCTTTTGGGGGCAGGAACCAGCACTGTTGGGCCTGGCCAAGGCACTGGAGCCCATTTTCAAGGAATTACTCAATGTGAAAACATGCTCCACGTTATTCTACCTTGAAAACCCTATACACAAGCATAGGAGCAGCTCACTCTGCCTTGGTGCACTTAATAGACACTAAAGCTGGCTGGAAATACTGCAAGGAACAGCATTTTGTAATCTCAGGTCAGCACCTGATTGGCAAGAGTGAAGCAAAGCTGCTTACACAGCTCTTAGAACAACACAATAACAACTCTCATTCAGCTGAAACAAGGGAATGCCTCCATTAGGAGACCTTGATCCCTCCTAAGGCATGATCAAGGTCTGCCTCAGGAGCGCGGCAGGCACCTGCTTCTGCCTTCTGACATGCTTATGGCACCTGGAGAAGACACTGGGCTGGCAACAAGCCCATTGAATGATGTTGAACAACTGGGTGAAACAGTTTGAAGGAAAAAGAAGAATCAACATAAAGTGGTGAGGACCAATAACTATTTCCAAGGAGGAACAAGCACCCGCTGAGACAGAAAACACGGGGCCTGGCAACAGCACTGCAAACTGGGACTGGAGGTCACAGCAGATCCCAGGCTGACGCTGCACTGTTACAAGGCAAGCAGACATGACAAGAGAGCACACAGACTCGCAATAATCATGCAAAATACAGCTTTCACTGGCTGCAGGTGCTACTAAGGCCTCCTGTGGAAGGGTACCCACTTCTGGAGACTGTACTAGGAGAAAACAAGCTCCACCGGGGGAGGCTCTTCATACTTCTAAAGCAAAACAGCGCCTTGTTCAGACAAGTCTCCGGGTGCCCCTCTGCTTTGAAGAGCAGAGAATCCCCCCGGCCCC